GTTGGAGGAACGGCTCGCCGTGGAAAGGCGCAAATCCTGTTGCGTGGGCGGTGGGTCGTGTGTGTGTGCAACGATTTGCCGCTGGTTAGGGGCGATTTCGGGACACACCTAACGCACAAACTCCCTCCTTCCCAATTTGACGGGGGAAAGCGCTCAGCGAGGGCGAGTTCCCGCGGTTGGTGACGTCACGGGCGTTCCGCGCGCGCTCAGGTGCGCGACAGGATTGGAGGGAAGGATGGGTGGTTTAAGCTACTATATTTTTTTTTTTACTGCCTTTCCCCAAAGGGCCCCAAGGCGGCATACATTATTAAAAGGGCACTACAGTATTTTGAAAGCTGAAGGATACAAAGAGTTAAAATGAAATTAAACAAGGACTGTATTTAAAAAATGGTAAATTAAAAAATAAATACTGGAAACACATGTAAAAGCAAAGGGGCACAATCATCCGGGTTGGAAGGAAAAAAATTGAGTTGGAAAAGAATTAAAGAAGTGCTATATTAAAAACAGTAAATCGATGCTAAGACATTGGAAAGCCATGAAGCCCAACAATCTGGTTTTTAAAAAATTGAGCTGAAAACGGTAAATGTACAAATATGTAGGTGAAAAGGAATGAAACAAGTGTTGCACTGATAATGGTAAATAGAGTTAATGCAAAAAACAACGGTAAGTTGGAAAAGAATTAAAGAAGTGCTATATTGAAAACAGTAAATGAAATCAGTACTAAAATACTGTTTGGAGAGCCATGAAGCCCAACAATTTGGTTTTTTAAAAAATTGAGCTAAAAACAGTAAGTATACAAATATGTAGTGAAAAGGAATGAAACACGTGTTGCATTGACAATGGTAAATAGAGTTAATGCAAAAACTTGGAAAAGAATTAAAGAAGTGCTATATTGAAAACAGTAAATGAAATCAGTACTAAAATACTGTTTGGAGAGCCATGAAGCCCAACAATTTGGTTTTTTAAAAAATTGAGCTAAAAACAGTAAGTATACAAATATGTAGTGAAAAGGAATGAAACACGTGTTGCATTGACAATGGTAAATAGAGTTAATGCAAAAACCACATTTAAAAGCAGCAGAGCATTACAATCCCGTTTGAAAAATTTGAGCCTTTGAGTTGTGGATCCTTTTGTTGGGGGGCATTATCTTTGTGAGGGTGAGGCTAGGAAGGTGGCTTTTCAGTTTTAGTCAGGGCATAGTTGATTTCTGCCTTCTCCTTTGATAAATCTGGGGGCCTGCTAGAATTAGAAGGTACTCCGGTGCGTTGCCCTCCTTGTAACTGCTTGGCAGCTGTCTAAAACTTAGGTTTTTCCTGTTCCAAATGGTTGGTGGGCTTGAGATTTGGGGAGGGGCTCCACCACAACCTTTAACCTCTGAAGACAGTGGAACATAGTGGGTTGTGAGATCATTGAAGAACAGCGGGATAAGTATTTTAGCATTCTTCAAATGTTCAAGTACTGTACTTCTCTCAAGGGTATTAGTCAGTTAGAGTCTGTAGAAGCATTTTTTAGGATAGGTTCCTATTCTTAGGATAGGTTCCCTGCAGCAATGGGATTGAGGTTCAGAGACATCCTGCCCTAAAATGGTACAGGCTTCAGGCGCGAATGTTCAAGTACTTCTCTCAAGGGTATTAGTCTGTTAGAGTCTGTAGAAGCATTTTTTAGGATAGGTTCCTATTCTTAGGATAGGTTCCCTGCAGCAATGGGATTGAGGCTCAGAGACACCTTGGCCGTACAGGATCAGGCAGGACGGATGCCCTTGGCCAAGGCCTCTCCTTGGTCCATCATCCTCTGTTGACGTACACTGAATTTAAGTATTTTTCTGTATTTTGTAGAAATATTTGCCTGTACTGTATTAGTGGATAGTTGTAAGGCTGGCATGCTCTGGGTCACTTTATGTTGTTTTTGTGACGTGCTATGATATTGTTTCCAATTTATAATGATCCTAATTGGTTTTCAAGACATTTAAGGAGTGTTTGTTTTACCAGTGCTCACCCATGGTCTGGTCCTGTAAGGCTCCATGGAGAAGTGTGGATTTTAACCCTTGAGTCTTAAGTGTGTTATTCTGTCCACTGCACACATCTATCACTAAGGCTTGTGGCTGTTAGGTGACATTTAAATAAAGAACCTTGCAATCTTATGGTTTAATTGTACAAAATTGCACTGTTAGTGGGAGTGGGTGCAAATATATGTGTTTTTTTTTCTTTAAAATATTGTCCTCTGTATATATTATATTTGAATTTTCGGGTGTGTGACTGTATAATAAAACTGAACTAACTTAACTTAAAATATTGGTAACTTGCCTTTGTCAGGTGGACCCAAGGTGGCTTGTAATGTTAAAATAAACAAAATTTAAAACTTTTAAAAAGAACCTAGGCAGCCCCATTTTAAAGACCCCCCTTCCCTTGCTTAGGTAGCCTATTCCTGAAGGGGGTTAAAATCAGCCTGAACAGAAAGGTCTTTGCCTGGTCACGGATGGAGAGCCTGGCCTCCCCTGGGAGGGATTTTCTGCAACGTCAGGCCAGTGACAGAGAAGATCCTCTCTCTCTCTCATATCCTCACCAGTGAGGGTGGGTGGCAGGATGCAGAGAAAGGCCCCACCTGTTGATTTTAATACTGTACTTTGCAACGTCAGGCCAGTGACAGAGAAGATCCTCTCTCTCTCTCATATCCTCACCAGTGAGGGTGGGTGGCAGGATGCAGAGAAAGGTCCCACCTGTTTATTTTAATACTGGGCAGATTTATAAAGGAAGATGTGGTTTTTTGGGTACGTAGCTCAGCCCCAAGTCAAAGTTGCTCTCTGACCTGTAATACTGTCCTTTTCCTACAATTCCAGTGGTTGCTGCGAGGGCTCCCCGGAAGGTCCTTGGCTCTGGAAGTGCTAATGTGAGCCCCTCTTCTACGTCTAGAAAAAGTGAGTGTATTGGGTGTTAGAGGTTTGATTCTGTGCTGGCTTTTAATGGGCCTTGGGGTGGGGCTATGAACTGTGAGCTACCTTCCCATCATCTTCTGGTCTGGAGTGCAGAACTGTGGGTCCTCCAGATATTTTTGTACTTTGACTCCCAGCAATATCGCATGGTAGGTGGTAAGAGATTGTGGGCGTTGTGTAATAATCAGGAATATTTTCCCTGTCTTAGGCAGTTCCTTTTAAACTGATGAACAGCCCCCCCAGATGTGCTATAACAGTGGAATCTTTGTCTAGGATTCAGTCCTGAACAGATAGGTTTCGGTCTTGCACACTTGAGGGAGGATAAGTGTCATGGGGGTGAACTGGATTTGCTCCTGAAAAATATCTATGTAGAGTTGTGTTGTTTAAACTAGCTGGAATGTTATGTATGATAGAATTCAGCAGCAAGTTACCTCAGCTGCCTATCTTCTGTCTTCATTAAACTTTTAAGGAGATAGACTGCATCTGACATTGGCTGAAAAATGAAGTGGAGCAGCTTATGGTACATAAGGCTGATGTCAGCTGCAGAGCTTTTTGGAAATTAAAAATCTAAGGCACTCTTGGAATCCCTTTCATCATGGGGAAAAAGTCCTGCTAGTGGAAATTTTCAGAATTAAACTGTTCCCATCGCATGACCCTCAAGAGCTTCCTGCAAAGAAAGGGTGCCTTCGGACCCTGGGGGCGGGATTGAAAATCCTTAATTTCTGAAGAACTGTTGTAGCTGATGCTGTAAATTGCTTTATGCGGTGTAAATCATGCTGTTGAATTTAACCTCGAGTTCCGAGTTTCCTATATATTAATGTACATTTTGTCTTGGCTTGAAAAATTTTATTGTATTATATTGTGTATTTTTTTTAATTGCCAGCCATTAATACATTCTTAATCATGTTGAGCAGGTGAAAGTAAGTATGCTGGTGGCAATCCAGTGTGTGTGAGGCCAATACCACCATGGCAAAAAGGAATTGGAGAATTTTTTAGGCAGCCCTCGAAACATTTGGAAAAGGAGAACCAGCCCTCTGATGAGGAACCAGGATGCAGCGGAATAAAGAAAAGTAGAAGAAAGTAAGAAATTTATATCTTTGTTTTCTCTCTATAACATACCTTTAATCAACGTGCCATACTTTATGGTACAGTTCCCCTTTAAACAAAGCTGGAGTTGGGGTGTGGGATCCCTGTGTAGTTCAAAATTCATGTAGAACTTTTATGTCCCCCCCCCAAAAATCAACTACAAAGTATAAACAGTTGATACTCTCACAAACACACACCAGTTCTCTGTATTGCAGTTCTGTTCCATAGTGTTGACAATCAGTTCCAGACAGAGCTTTGAATTTCCTTATGATCCCCAGATCTAGAGACTGAATTAGAGATGTTGCATTTGGGGGCAAGTAGACTATTTCATCACCTTTAGGGTTGAACTCATGAGGGTCTGGGTGACCAGGGGCACAGTATTTATTGAATATCTGTTTATCGAAGAAAATACCTGTGTATAACCAAAACCATTGCCCAGACCTGTACAATTCAAGGGGGAAGTGTATGCTTTTAAACTTTTGTTGTTTCTTATAATAACTGAAGTTTTAAAAAACTGCCCAGGGTAGACATGTGTCTAGATGGGCGGGGTATACATTTAATTAATAAATAAAAGCAGGTTTAATTTTTAAAACATTCTTAACCTCCATCACGGGGTTCTCCATATTGAAGAATTGCCCAGCCACTACATTGTTAACTTCTTTTATCTCTGCAGAGCTCGCCCCCTGCCTCCTTATCCTGAAGACCACGGAACACTCTCGGAAGATGACCAAGTATGATGAGCTTCTCACCTTTTCTGCTGGCAGATCTCGCCATGCTTCTGTATATATTTTGTATGCATCGTTTTGGGTAAAGGTCTTTATTTATTCATAGGACCTCCAAATTTAAATGAGTGTATGGAATTGAGATCAGTCTCTCCTGGGAGATTAGCTGCCCGTGAAGCACTGTCATGCTGAGTAATGAGTACTTAATTGTTTTATGTTAAATAATGTTTGTTTCTCAGAGCACTTAAAGATTTTGCCATATGAAAGTCAACATGACTGTCTTATTAAATTTCATTATCTTGTTATTTGTGTTTTGATATAACTCGTTCTTGAGTTTTACGTTTGGATTTCCTTTCTAAATCCAAGAGAAGGCTTAACTGAAATGCTTTTGGAAGGCCAAGGAAACTTAACTTTATAATAAAATAACTTATGAAATAATTAAAGAATAATGGATTTTCCTTTTGTATAGCTTTCTGGCATGGGTCGGAATTTGGTGTTAAAGAGTTCCCAAGAAGGAAGCTTTCAGGTGGAGGAATAGCACCTCTTAAAAACAAAAAACTTTATATAAAAAAAGGGTTCCTCAAGAGTAAAATAGTTACTAGCAGGGAAACAAGAGGTGGACTTGCAGCTTTATGTTCACTAGAGATGTACAGTGGTGTGTTAGTTTTTTCTACAGTTCCCTAAGCACCACAGCTGCCTGAGGAATTCTAAAAGTTGGGCCTAAAAAAACACACCACCTGGTCAGGTTTTCCAGTACCATTACACTACTGCTCAAAAACAACAAAAATGCAGTAAAGAAGATTTAAAAAGATCTCAAGATTTAAAAATGTATATACATATATGAGATATGCTGATCTCTTAAAGAGAAGAGAATGGTTCTTTTAAAGAGAAATGCTAATGCCAATACACCCCAGATTTATTCAGTACTGAAAACGGGATTTGTGGTGGAACAAATTCTCCATATCGAAAAGCCGTGTCTTGCACAGGCTTGACTGTCTGAATCTTATGAGCAGGTGTATGAAAGCATTACTTGTTTTTTATTCCATTTTTGTTCTAGTAAGGATTGGGGCATAAAATCACAAATAGAATGAATTTAGGAGTCTTTCTAGAATCATGGCAAACAAGTTGGAAATTATGCAGAGAATGTGTAAAAATATCAAATATGGTGTGCCTCATGTTGGGAGTCTGAGATTGCTTTAAATAAGGTACACTGTATTTGGAAAAGCTTCCCTACTCCTGCTTATGGCCAAACTGCACCAGAAGTTATTTTCTTCTTTCTGTTCCATGAAACAGGAATCTGCTGTAAATGTGTTACATTCTGGACGTGCTACATGCAACATTCATTTGAAAGCATGAGTCAGAGACTACTCACTTCAATGTAACTGTTAGATGCAGGCTGAGAAGTCTTCCACGTGGAACATTTGTTCTTAATGTATTGCGTTCTACACCGATGTGCCCACTCAGCCGTGCCTTTAGAACAGCTCATTTATCTACACTGGGAAAAACAAAGAGTCTTGTGACAATGTAAACACTATCATGTTTTACATGACAAACTGCTTGAGTGGTTAGGGAATGCAAGCAGTACGCTAACTGAATTGAGAAGTAACATTCAAAAGCTAAAACAAAAGCAACACTTCTACAGTACCTTAAAGACCAGCCTTATTGAGTTTGTGTAGACCACAGTACCAAATGAAACCTTGTTTGCCTTTGAGATGCAAAGGACAGTTGTTGGGACATTTATCTAACTTTCACAAAAAATGTTTGGGTGGTAAACAGTCAATCCTTGCTTAGATATGTTGATTGGCTCTAGTAAATGAAATGCTAATCACTTAATTTACACAAGAATGTGTGTCACCACTAGTTTCTACTACAATACCAACTGTTAAGGTAAAAACAGGGTTCTGTGACATCTTTAAGAGGAATAAGTTAGTCTTGAGCTTTCATTGATCTAGCCAGGTTTCCCCCAAGGCACAGAACTACAAGTTATGTGGATGAAACATAAAAATATAGAAAGTGCCAATACTATTCACAAACTTTCAAAGGACTAGATACTGTAAACATTCTGGCATTAGGTCAGTTATGCATGTCAAAATTCTTTAAAATATGTAGTAGTACTGAAATTAGTAGTGCGATGTGGAACGCTAAAAGTCGATTCTGACTTGACAGTACATAACAAACTTATTCAAGTTTCTTTGTGCCTTCTAGGGAACACTAAGGGCAGTTATACTATGCTTTTGGGGGGGGCTTTGTGTCCCAAAATTTGGTAATTACATCCCAGAAGAGCCACTTATGTAGCTTTGGGCAAACTGCAGTCCCACGGTCCGCCAACAAGAGAATGGAAAACCACTTTTGAGTATTTTCTACCTTAAAAACCCAGAAAAGAGTAATTGTCAGTCAAAACTGATTTGATGGTATGCATTTATTAAGAAAGCTACAAAGGAACTCTTTCATTAACCCTTCTCCATCTTTTTAGTTGACTAAAATCCACTTCAACCTCCTTCACAGTGTCTAACCAATGCATTGAAAACAAATTGACCCTTTTGCAAGGTGGCTACCAGGAAATCTGAAAAACGGCTCTTCCCTATTTTTGACTAATGTATTCTACTTTCAGGAGAGAAACCTGAAATGGGGGGGGCTTTGTGTCCCAAAATTTGGTAATTACATCCCAGAAGAGCCACTTATGTAGCTTTGGGCAAACTGCAGTCCCACGGTGCGCCAACTAGCTTTGGGCAAACTGCAGTCCCACGGTCCGCCAACAAGAGAATGGAAAACCACTTTTGAGTATTTTCTACCTTAAAAACCCAGAAAAGAGTCATTGTCAGTCAAAACTGATTTGATGGTATGCATTTATTAAGAAAGCTACAAAAGAACTCTTTCATTAACCCTTCTCCATCTTTTTAGTTGACTAAAATCCACTTCAACCTCCTTCACAGTGTCTAACCAATGCATTGAAAACAAATTGACCCTTTTGCAAGGTGGCTACCAGGAAATCTGAAAAACAGCTCTTCCCTATTTTTGACTAATGTTTTCTGCTTTCAGGAAAGAAACCTGAAATACTGTAATTGTAGCACCTATAAGACTAGTGTTTAAAATGAGTTATTCTTAGATGCTACATGACTGTGGTTTCTCTTGCTACAACAGATTAACACAGCTACCTGTTAGATTGTTTTTAGAGAACCCTTCAGCTGAAGCTGCAAGTGATTTATTTAATCCCAGAGTTTATTGGGGGAAAATCATTTATCCTATATATAGTAGGGTGGAAATACAGACATCTATGGAAGAACTGGCTGAAACTAAAACTGGTTAATGGTGTTAACAACTTTTTGTTGCAACATGGCTGCTTCCTTGGAGATAATTGCTAAAATAATTATTGCTTCCACTCTGCGTTTTAATTCCCTCCAACTGTTACTCAAAATACAGAACCTAGGGCTTCTCTCTGGCAGGAGACCAAAACAAAGAACATGGCTGCTTCCTTGGAGATAATTGCTAAAATAATTATTGCTTCCACTCTGCGTTTTAATTCCCTCCAACTGTTACTCAAAATACAGAACCTAGGGCTTCTGGCAGGAGACCAAAACAAAACACCAGTAAAGGTACAATGCAGTTTTATTTGAAAAAGCTGGTGGGCTCTCATTAAAGCAAGAGGAGCCCCCCACCTTATATTATTGAACAAACTTTTAAAGAGACAAAGAGTTACAAGACGTTTCAAAAAAAAATCCACCTAGTCAGTTACAGTATTTCATATCTACAGAGTATATACCGTAATTGCCCTAGTTACAGTATTTCATATCTACAGAGTATATAATTGCCCTACTGCCCCTCAGTTCAAGTTGAATGTAGGATGCTTGCTATTATACCCAGCATGGGTCTTACCTATTTCTTTGCAACGCATGGATGCACCTCTGACCAGTTTTGACCAGTTCTGCATCTTGCAGCCTACTTAAGGCCATATACACCCTTCTCCAACCCGCAAACAAAAGTGCTTCCAGTTTTGACCAGTTCTGCATCTTGCAGCTTACTTAAGGCCATATACACCGTTCTCCAACCCACAAAGAAAAGTGCTTATGTCTCCTAGAAGTTTCTCTCCCTTTTAATTCCCATAATTGCTTTTACGGGCTATGGAGTGAACCTCTATATGGATGTCCAGCAAGCACATCTCCACGGCTGGTAATTTGACAAGGAGCACATTGTGATACCACAGGAATACTTTAAATACACAAATTAAATATTACTGCACACTTTATACCTAGTGTATAAGAGGATATCTAAGCCAATTTAGTCATCCAGTGTGCAACCTCAAGCACATCTCCACGGCTGGTAATTTGACAAGGAGCACATTGTGATACCACAGGAATACTTTGAATACACAAATCAAATATTACTGCACACATACCTAGTATAAGAGGATATCTAAGCCAATTTAGTCATCCAGGTGTGTGTACAACCTGCCATCTAGGGCAGCACTCCAGGTAACCTGATGAATGCATAGTATGTACCTTGCTACAAGAAATGCACAGACCTGTGCCCTTAGATTTCGCCTCCCCATGGAAAGGATCACACCTTTCTCTCCCTGTGGATCCTCACCCCTCTGGCTTTGGCAGAGGCAATCCCCGGCCACAGCCCAATTGCTCCAAATCTGTTTTATTTCCAGCTCCTGGTGAAATTACCCGAAAAGCAGAATTATTTCTTGGACACCTCGGAGGGCAATCGATTTATGCAACCGTCTTCCCTTTTAGAGTTTATCACCGGCGCCAACGCCAGGGTCATTTTTTCAGTGGGTCGCGTGCCGTTTGCCCCCATATAAATAACAACTGTGGGTCTTGATGATGGCAATTTTAATTGTATTTTAATTGTATTTTAATCATTTTATTGTATTGAATTTTAATTATTGTAAGCCGCCCAGAGACCTCTGGGTAGAGTGGGCGGCATATAAATTAAATAAATAAATAAATAAATATAAACCAGTGCCCCATATAAACCAGTGCCCCATATCATCGCATCCTGCGCTCCGCCCCGCTTCTTCCTAAACAAAAAGGGGGTGGAAATCCCCTCTTTTTCCCCCCATCCCGTCACGTGACCTCGCCCGTGGATTCCCTGCCACCCACCCACCTACCCCTCCTTAGAAAAAAAAATATCTCGCTTCCGCGTAGCAACCGAATGCGGTTGCTAAGGCGCGGCCGCGGCGGCCGAGACCCGGAAGTGCTTTTGTGACGGCGCCGCGGCCCGGCTCGCGTCTTTCCGATGTGTTGTGTCCTCCCCCCCGTTCCACCTCCTCTCGCTCTCGCCTTTATCTTCCCTGCCTCTT